GGGGGGGGGGTGTCACCGCCTCGGGTACCAACCCATGCTACGCCGCCACTGCATTGGTGCTATGTTATGGTTACAAAGCACCATTACTTTGACTAGCAGGCTGTTAATATTAAAAGCTATTATTTGAAAATTTAGTAAAATACAAACGGACCAACACCAAAAATGTTATGGAATATTCTAAAAGGTTAATTTATATAAAAGGGAATATATTTTTAATACTATCCAGTAATAAAAGATACTCTGAGGAAATAGGTCGGCAATTTGTGAACTCAGAACATGTTCACCGTTCCCAATTCGATACATAAATAATGTAAACATTATAGTAAATATTAGGCATCGTCTTTTATAGAATAAATTAGGTAAAATTAAGGCTATATGGAACTTGAATAAATAAATACTGTTAAAAAGGTACAAGTGGCAATTAACTTCTTAATAACATGGTAAAAATGGAAGATTGAATGTTAGGTACTAACTAAAAAATGTTATTGGAATATATTTAACTGGAATTTGAGATTAGGATAATATAAGGACATAAAACATTACAATTATTCTTATTTTCAAGGGGGATATCTTGTATTTAATGTCAATTGGTTCTTTTGTTTTGATTTTCTTCTTAGTTGTTTTAGTCTATGATTAGCACGGGTTGACATTGATAAATCAGCTTTATCTATAGCTTCTCACCTTATAGGTGAAGGTTAAGAAATGCTGTGTTTTTGCTTTTAGGATTTGTCTTATTGGATGCGTTCTGCGATCAGGTCAAAGTGAACGCAGCCCGCATTTTGTATGAACAACTTTGTCGATCTCTATACATATCGTATTGATACGATCAGCAGGCCTAGGATGGCGGTTATCATGTTATGTTATCGATTTTGCCTATATATTTTCAAGTCGATAAGAGCATATCACAGCTGGAAGAGTCACATCTCCCTTTAGTTTCTGTGATCTGTGGCTCGGACCATGTTGTTCATACATGATGCAGGCGGCATTCACTTTGACTTGAACGCACACCGATTCCAGTGTGGAAAATCCTTTAGGTCCACTTGCATAGCTAGAATCAGGGTAGTCGATGCCCAATCCTATACATAGAGTTAATATTCCTCCGGAATAGAGTAACCAAATACGAGCTGTCAAACGAAACCGATTTTAGGATGTCACTGGATGTCATTCGTGTGTCAATTTTCAGGATCATTTCACTGTGTACCATAATCAATCACTGAACCAGTCACCACGTTTCTGAAGCACTATTTCGCAAAACATCCACGTATTCACCGAAAAAATCTCAGAGCTGAAATTTTCAGCGTGCCAATGAGTTGCGTTGCAAAAAATATTCTGTCACGTCGCATCACGCGTCTCTTTTTATCAAACAGTATTGTTGCTAGTGACATCTCGCTCTCTCAGTCCTTTGCTCTATTCCGCTAGGTATATTAACTTTATGATCCTACACTGCAAATGGACCAATTTCCTTCTCACGTTTCCCTTACTAGCTCTTACTTAGTTCTTCAGTGACGATATCCAAGTAATGCGAGTTGAATACCGCTTTGTTGTGCATGACGTAGCGTAGTAACGTGCCTGATACCGCGGTTAATTCCTTGGCGAAGCCTGACAGTCCTACAGGAATCTGGCGGGACCCGCCCGCGCAGATTAGAATCATTTGGAGGAACTCTAGTATGCGTTGACCTGTAAAAACAAAACGTATGTGAATCAAATAAATAAAATTGATATGGCTGTTTGTAATGTTTGAAGATTTTACTGAATGCTTGAATGAAATATAGTTGTTTGTTTTTAATCCGTATGCAACGGTGTAACCTAAACCAGTCTCGCTACTAGTAAGCAGAAAACGTCTGTAGCAGCATACTGCATAACCGAAACGTGGTATTCATGTACTGAATTAAAACATAATATGAATCAATACACACATAATAAATGTCGCGTTTGAGTCTCGTTCCCGTTGCGCACACTCAGTTACAAATTATTAGACCGTGAAGTTAAAAAGAAAATAAATATTTCGTTGTCTCTGAAAATTTTCAAAACTACTGGACTGGGCACCAATGAAAGTTTCGTTAAAACTGGTCAGATATCTAGCTCATATTTTAAAGTACTAACTCTATGGTAAATACAAATGAATAGGTCATCTTTATAGAAACGCACCGAGCGCGGTTTGTATGTGAGCGCGCCAATAAGTATGCGGCGCGCACGCACACACTGACAAAATTAGCGTGTATTAGCGGGGTGTTGCACCGAATTGGCGCGCTCACATACAAACCGCGCTCGGTGCGTTTCTATGAAAATGGGTATCCTTCCGTTTGGCCAAATTACTTTTCGCCAAATTTCACTTCGCAAACAACTTATCGCCAAAGTTTCATTTCCCAAATGAACTTTTAGCAACTGTATTTTTCGCAACTAATTCATTTGGTCAAATTATCATTTGGCCAAATTTTACTTTGCAAATGTTTATATAGCAAATGTTTTATTTTGCCAAATATTATATCCCAAATAATTTGTTTGGTCAAATTGACACTTCACATACTTACCCACCGTTACCCACAAATCAAAGCATAAGATCATGGTTTTCACAAGAATTGTATACGTAAAACAAAGAGATTGCAGAAAATAGTAGGTTAGGTTAGGTTAGAACAGTGACCCTTAACGCGCGAAGGCGAGCGAAGCGTGCCGCGGCAGCGGCCGCCGAGCGCTAGAATCACCTCTATTGTTAATCATTTGGAAATTTCGATAAAAAGAATGAAATATGATAATTAATTTAGAACAAATTTTATATTAACTAGCCACTAAACAAAATAATAACCACAAGCTAATTTGTATTCCATTCTATGCACCAATCAAATTATTTTGTAAATAGTTTATCGTGAAATAATTTTGCCAAATGAAACATTTGGCAAAACATACTTTGCCAAACAATAATTTGCGAAACAATAATATGCCAAAAACGACATTTGCGAATTAAAAGTTTGCAATAAGTTGTTTTGCCAAATGAGAATTTGCCAAATGAAAATTTGCGATACGTTGTTTGCGATGTGATAATTTGGGAAACGTTTTTTGGCCAAACATTAGTAATCCATGAAAATGACCTACTCATTTGTATTTACTCTGTCTATGGTCTATATACTTACGAACAATCTGCCTGACTCTATGCTCAGGGTCCCACAAGGAAGTGATCTGGGTCCGGATCAGCTCTTTAGTGTCGGCAGTCAGTGGATCTTGGTTCAGATTCTCCAGAAACTGCTCAGTCACTAGAATCACTTCCTCGGCTATCGAGGGAAGCACTGCTTTCAACTCTCTGCAACAAATTATACGTTTCTCATTTGTCTATGGTCAATGACTGTCAAATTGCAGAATAAATCATTCACTAATTTGACAGGAGTGCATGAACTTTACCTGTATCTCACATTTATGGTACATCATTTTCTGTAATTTATGTAGGCATAAATTATGAGGTTGACAAAGGTGACTGATGCCCGTTTTCACCATCAATCCCTAATTTTTAAGTGACCCTGATGGTAACACTTAACAGGAATTTTGTTTTCATAGGGGTCACTTAAAAATTAGGGATTGATTGTGAAAACGGGCATTAATCTTGAGCATGAGTTTCTTCTGTCACTACTTAGCACCAGCCATATCGGCTGATTGTCCCATAGTGCATGGCAAGCTTACATTTGGTATATTTGGGACGTGTACAAGTGCCCTGGAGAAGGCTTGAATAATGCTCGTTTTCACCATCCATCCTTAATTTTAAGTGACCTATGGTGACACATAACAGGCGTTTTGTTTTCATAGGGGTCACTTAAAAATTAGGGATTGATGGTGAAAACGGGCATAACTCACATGACGCTGGCGGCGGTGTCCATGATGATGGAGATCTTCTCTGTGAGCGCTTTCCTGTGCGCCTGCTGCGTCGGCTCGCCGCAGCGCGGGCTGGCCAGCATGAGGGACGCGAGGCAGATCAGCCGGTACACTTGGGTGCCGAGCTCGGCGAAGCGAGGAGCATCTAAAGTCCGGTCGCCGAGCACGTAGAATTTCGTACAATGACCCTAAGCTACTTATTCCTATCGCTCGCGCGTATTCATATTGCTGTCGCGCTCGCACACTCACTGCGGCCGCCCGTCGCACAGTCGCAACAGCAATAGGATTACGCGCGAGCTGTCTGGGGACTAACTCACATGTCTCTTCCAGTCAAGATTATTTATTGGTCGTATCGAGCAGTCTGGAATGCATTCTCTCAGCGGTCGCAGGTTTTTTTCTACTTAAGTACACAGATGGCCCGCGCCATCCTTTAAAGGTCTTTGCGCCTCCCCTGGGGGGCGCGCTCCCCACTTTGGGGACCAATGATCTGGGGAATATAACTCACATGTCGCTTGCAGCGGTGTCCATGATGATGGAGATCTTCTCCGTGAGCGCTTTCCTGTGCGCCTGCTGCGTCGGCTCGCCGCAGCGCGGGCTGGCCAGCATGAGAGACGCGAGGCAGATCAGCCGGTACACTTGGGTGCCGAGCTCCGCGAAGCGAGGAGCACCTAAAGTCCGAGCGCCGAGAATTCCTCCGTGGTTGAGGATTCCGGGTAAAGCTCGCTTCCACCTTCGGCCTAATCATCACTTACCATCAGGTGAGATACAGGCCAAGAGATTCCTCGTTGTGGATAAAAAAAAATTTCGTCCAATGACCCCAAGCTACCCATCCCTATCGCTCGCGCGTAATTATATTGCTGTCGCGCTCGCACACTCACTGCGGCCACCCGTCGCACAGTCGCGACAGTAATAGAATTACGCGCGAGCGATAAGGATGGGTAGCTTGGGGTCATTGGACGAAGTTCTACGTGCTCGGTGACCGGACTTTAGCGACACCGTCTGGGGAATATAACTCACATATCGCTGGCGGCGGTGTCCATGATGATGGAGATCTTCTCCGTGAGCGCTTTCCTGTGCGCCTGCTGCGTCGGCTCGCCGCAGCGCGGGCTGGCCAGCATGAGAGACGCGAGGCAGATCAGCCGGTACACTTGGGTGCCGAGCTCGGCGAAGCGAGGAGCATCTAAAGTCCGAGCGCCGAGAATTTCGTCCAATGACCCCAAGCTACCCATCCCTATCACTCGCGCGTTGATGTCGCGCTCGCACACTCACTGCGGCGGCCCGTCGCACAGTCGCAACAGCATTATAATGAGGGTTTTCGCGTATGAAAGATCCGCTAGATGGCGGGACGTGGATGTGGGGTCTGACTGCTGCGTGATTGGTGGATTTTGACATATCTGTCAATGTCATGTCAAAAATAACCAATCATGCAGCATTTGGACCTCGCGTCTACGTATTGCCATCTGGCGGATTTTTCATACGCGAAAACCCTCATTACGCGCGAGCGATAAGGATGGGTAGCTTGGGGTCATTGGACGAAATTCTACGTGCTCGGCGACCGGACTTTAGCGACACCGTCTGGGGAATATAACTCACATGTCGCTGGCGGCGGTGTCCATGATGATGGAGATCTTCTCTGTGAGCGCTTTCCTGTGCGCCTGCTGCGTCGGCTCGCCGCAGCGCGGGCTGGCCAGCATGAGGGACGCGAGGCAGATCAGCCGGTACACTTGGGTGCCGAGCTCGGCGAAGCGAGGAGCATCTAAAGTCCGGTCGCCGAGCGCGTGGAATTTCGTCCAATGACCCCAAGCTAACCCATCCCTATCACTCGCGCGTATATTGCTGTCGCGCTCGCATATTCACTGCGGCCGCCCATCGCACAATCGCGACAGCAATAGAATTACGCGCGAGCGATAAGGATGGGTAGCTTGGGGTCATTGGACGAAATTCTACGTGCTCGGCGACCGGACTTCAGTGACACTGTCTGGGGAATATAACTCACATGTCGCTGGCGGCGGTGTCCATGATGATGGAGATCTTCTCTGTGAGCGCTTTCCTGTGCGCCTGCTGCGTCGGCTCGCCGCAGCGCGGGCTGGCCAGCATGAGAGACGCGAGGCAGATCAGCCGGTACACTTGGGTGCCTAACTCCGCGAAGCGAGGAGCATCTAAAGTCCGGTCGCCGAGCACGTAGAATTTCGTACAATGACCCTAAGCTACTTATCCCTATCGCTCGCGCGTATTCATATTGCTGTCGCGCTCGCACACTCACTGCGGCCGCCCGTCGCACAGTCGCAACAGCAATAGGATTACGCGCGAGCTGTCTGGGGACTAACTCACATGTCTCTTCCAGTCAAGATTATTTATTGGTCGTATCGAGCAGTCTGGAATGCATTCTCTCAGCGGTCGCAGGTTTTTTTCTACTTAAGTACACAGATGGCCCGCGCCATCCTTTAAAGGTCTTTGCGTCTCCCCTTGGGGGCGTTCCCCACTTTGAGGACCAATGATCTGGGGAATATAACTTACATGTCGCTGGCGGCGGTGTCCATGATGATGGAGATCTTCTCTGTGAGCGCTTTCCTGTGCGCCTGCTGCGTCGGCTCGCCGCAGCGCGGGCTGGCCAGCATGAGAGACGCGAGGCAGATCAGCCGGTACACTTGGGTGCCGAGCTCGGCGAAGCGAGGAGCATCTAATGTCCGGTCGCCGTGCGCGTAGAATTTCGTCCAATGACCCCAAGCTACTCATCCCTATCGCTCGCGCGTATATTGCTGTCGCACTCGCACACTCACTGCGGCCGCCCGTCGCACAGTCGCGACAGCAATAGAATTACGCGCGAGCGATAAGGATGGGTAGCTTGGGGTCATTGGACGAAATTTTACGTGCTCGGCGACCGCAACTTGACCTTCATTGGTTGGGTTTTTGTGGCGGTCTAGCTGTAGATCCTGGCTATACAGGAGTTGCAGTGGTGGGAACGAGAGGTGGGAATAGTCCCGTGCTAGGCGACCGGAATAGTGACACTGTCTGGGGAATATAACTCACATATCGCTGGCGGCGGCGTCCATGATGATGGAGATCTTCTCCGTGAGCGCTTTCCTGTGCGCCTGCTGCGTCGGCTCGCCGCAGCGCGGGCTGGCCAGCATGAGGGACGCGAGGCAGATCAGCCGGTACACTTGGGTGCCGAGCTCGGCGAAGCGAGGAGCATCTAATGTCCGGTCGCCGTGCGCGTAGAATTTCGTCCAATGACCCCAAGCTACTCATCCCTATCGCTCGCGCGTATATTGCTGTCGCACTCGCACACTCACTGCGGCCGCCCGTCGCACAGTCGCGACAGCAATAGAATTACGCGCGAGCGATAAGGATGGGTAGCTTGGGGTCATTGGACGAAATTTTACGTGCTCGGCGACCGCAACTTGACCTTCATTGGTTGGGTTTTTGTGGCGGTCTAGCTGTAGATCCTGGCTATACAGGAGTTGCAGTGGTGGGAACGAGAGGTGGGAATAGTCCCGTGCTAGGCGACCGGAATAGTGACACTGTCTGGGGAATATAACTCACATATCGCTGGCGGCGGCGTCCATGATGATGGAGATCTTCTCCGTGAGCGCTTTCCTGTGCGCCTGCTGCGTCGGCTCGCCGCAGCGCGGGCTGGCCAGCATGAGGGACGCGAGGCAGATCAGCCGGTACACTTGGGTGCCGAGCTCGGCGAAGCGAGGCGCGTCTAGTGACACTGTCTGGGAAAAATAAAATAGGCTAGTTGACACAGTCATATCGTCGCTTGCCTCTCTAACTGACGTAACTGACATTTTGCAAAATTTTCAGGCGATTAGACAGATCGATTCGTCTTGCGAAATTGATTAAGATGGTGTAGATAACTCAGTTTCGAAAAAAATGTCAGATACGTCAGTTAGATAGGCATATAGGCAAGCGACGATTAGCCAGTTGACTTGTAAAGGTTAGTCTTCACTGGAGCGGTGCGGCACAAAGTCTTATAATTTTATTTTATACATTTTGTAGGGCGTGTGTCGCATTAAGGCGGCGCTGCAGTGAGTGGCGTTGGATAGTGCCAACCAATGTGAAGTGACCAATTCCATAAAGAATATTTGACGTGACTAGGTTTCAAATATAATACGCCTTGTGCCCTCCTATATCAATAGAGTTCTTGTTACTACAGACGTATGCAAAATTACTTTAATTTTGCTGTAAAAATCTGCATAATTTTACTAAATAGTTGCTTGAAGTAAAGTGGGTGCTTTACTTACTACGTTTATAGGGTAATCAAATCATATTTTGTCAGCAATTTAAATAGTTTTTCATTTGATTGGTAGTGTTACCCAATAACATAAACTTATTAAACTTACCTCAGGATACTCCTTAGAGCCATCCCACTCAAGCAATTCCAAGTATGCTTTAGCCAATGTCTGCGCTGTGACGTTTCTGATGATGTTCTGGTCTGTGACCGGCAAGCTTAGCCCTGTCTTGTCTATGTTACGTTTCAGCCATTCCTTTGTGTGCTGAAGTCCATCTAAAACAGTTAAAATATTTATCTGAAAACCTTCATTCTTGTTGTGGGGTAAAAGCTGCCATGTCAAAAATTTGGGATTCCTTAATTGACTTCACCAGTTGGCGCCAATGGCGAGTCATCATTATCATCATTTGAGCCACAGGACGTCCACTGCTGAACATAAGCCTCCTGCAATGACTTCCACATCGCACGGTTGGTAGCGAGCAATGGCGAGTGATAGAATTTAACTAGGGGCGCCAACTGGTGATGCCATTCCTTATTCAGTAGGGTAAATTATCTATACTTATAATAAATCTGTAGAGGTCAATTCTGTACATGAAATATATTTTCAAAATAACTACCAGGAGGTGATTAGTGATTGATACTGATGCCAAAAATGCAATCAGTAAATTTTTTGTCTGTCTGTCTGTCTGTATGTTCCTTATAGAAACAAAAACTGCTCGACGGATCTTAACGAAACTTGGTACAATTATTCTTTTTACTCCTGGGCAGGTTATAGTATACTTATGAATTCCCACGGGAACGGGAATTAGCGGGAAAATCCTTTTGTATGAAAAATCTAAACCGCTTAAGTTAGACGCCTGAAATTTGGCATGCAGGTACCTTAGTAAACTTGAAGCTTAGTTACAACAGGATATTGCAAAATTCCCACGGGAACGGGAGTTAGCGGGAAAAAACATTTGTATGAAAAAATCTAAACCGTGTAAGATAGATGAAGGGGGTAAAACGGGATCCACGCGTACGAAGTCGCGGACGGCCGCTAGTTTTGAAATAAAAATAATACCCACGACTTAATAGTAAAGAAACATCTAATTACCTTCAGAAACCTTCAACATCTCATCGAATTTGACTCTCTCGTAGTGCACACTCTCTTTCTGAACGTGCGGCCGTATCATGGCGATCAAAGTGTTGGCCAAGTCCAACTTCAGCACTTCTAAAGTCTCCAGTATAGCTCGGAATATGTCCACCTGTGAAATAAAACGAATTATGTTTAGTTCTTTAACACACTTGTTGCAATGTTTTGAAGTAAAGTTACCGTAAAAATGTTGGTTTATCCACTTATACAAAGAGACCCTTTGAAAGAGTACAAAAAAAAACATGGGATGTTTACAAAACAAAACAAATAACAGTGACAAATAAATGAAAAAGAGATTTTTTGAATTACTTGACTTGGATTGGCGGAAACTCGCTTGATTGCCGCCATATTTTTCTAATCAAAACTTCTGTATTTGTGATCACCAGTTGGCGCCACTAACGAGAGAGAGAAGTGGCGCAAACTGGTGAGTATAAATTCAATAGATTACAATAGTGAATAAAGTAAAGACCAAAAACTTACAGTGTCAGTTAGTGTAGTAATATTCTGGATCATTTCATCTCTCGCTGGGGCTGCCAACTTGGCCATCAGGTCGATGACAAACTTGGCGTACTTGTGGAAGTCCAGGCTGTTGTTCTCCGCCTGTTGCTTGATGAACTCAGTGTCTAGCACTTCTTCTATCATTTCCCTGATGCGAGTGTGGCGAGGAAGCAGTATGGAGAATAGACCCTGAAAATAAAACAAGATTCTAGATTAATATTGGTCTTATTTGCAGCCAATAATCAAGCAAGAAATTGGATACCGTATTCCGCTCATCAGTTGGTGCCTCTGGTGAATTGCAGGACCTTGTGAGCAGTGGCGCCAAATTTTTATTAATAAAAATATGATCCTTCCTATCTGGCAAGCGCTGGCAACAGTGGCGCCAACTGGCCAGTGAAAATACGATTGCCTTACTATCGTTTACAATAGCGCTCACATATTAGCTACTGACATAGCCACTAGCAAGTAACAGAAACTTGCTGCTAGTTGGTGGCGCCAAATGGAGGGCGCCAATTCGACAACCCTTTATTGAGTTGAGCGTAATTTAGTCGAGCAGAAAATTAATTAAAAAAATATTAACCTGTTTAACATCTTCCAGCAGAACCAGAGCTTGCTTGTATTCCGGAGGGTCAGACTCCAGCTGTTCCCTCAGGATGTCGAAGTAAGCCTTGTGCATGGTTTCTTTTACCAGTTTTTGGTAACTGAAACAAGTGAATAAAATGTTAAGTTTTTAAAGATTATGAGTCAGCCAGATGAAATCATGGTTTTATTCAAATAATAAAACTGAATAAATGAAATGGAAATCTAGATCTCAATACATAGGTAATTTTTAAATAGATATAATTATTATACCAAAAAACAAAGGCAAACATAATGAAAATAACAAAGAAGTGTAGCTAGCAGTTAGTACTTAAATTAATTAAGTTCATGTGGGTAAATAGTATCTGGGTCAGATTGTAATTTGTTTTAATTACCTATTGTCTGGAGGTTCAAAAGGCTCCAATTTGAAGTCATTGTCGACGGCTATCTCGTGCGCTAGCGCCATGTTCTGCATGCCATGTGCAGCCTTCATGATGTCCTCGAGAGTCACAAACTTGGGAGGAGACGCTCCTGTTATCGTAGAGCCCCGCACTCGGAATTGGATCGGCTCACTGGCATAATAGCTGTGGGCACTGTAATACAGAATTATTAGTGTTTAAAGATCTTCTTGAATATCTCTATTGCATAATTATAAACTAAAGATTTTCTTGACTATCTGGTACCTCCTCCTACATAGTAAACTCTGAAAACATTCTAAAAGTTCTGGTATTAGGGCAAGCTATAGTTAGGACATTTGCGTCTTTGAATTAAGGCCTTTAATTAGTTGGACAGTCAATATTTTCTTTTCTTTAAAGTGGTGCTTTCATTTGGCTCTTAAAACTTCATATTGCATTTTGAAGCACATAATATTGTTTTCGTCATATTTTTTCAGAAAGATGATAAAATAAATTAGCTGAATTCAAGAATAAGGGTCAAGAATGAAGTCTAATAAGAACAAAGACTAATTTAGGCATTTATTACAAAAGTAGGAAGCTGGAAGTGTAATAACACTATTGCTGCGCATTTTATATACAACTGACCTGGATCCAGTAGGCATAGGCTGCGCAGCAGATGGGGTCCTAGTATTATTTTCTCCTTTGTCCATTCCTTGCGAGCCTGAGCTGCTCGGCCCTTCACGTTCGCTCATCTTGGAAATATAATATCAACTGATTCTGGATATCTGGCACAATGATAAGACCTTTTCAACCCATATAAGGCAGGCTACTGGAAGGCTCGACGTTAAAAACTCAATTCATCTCACGGAATCACCTTGAGTCATAAACAACAACACATAACCTAACTTTCACAACAAAGAAATATAACAATAACAACTTTTGTTGATCAAAAATTGTTGGCAATTGTAAATTGCAAGTTATACTTATATTTATATCCTAAAGGAAGTGGTTTTACATAGTTTTTTTGTGAATTTTTCGTTTATTTCACAGCTGTTTTCATTATTCACTTGTCAATTTGATTGTCAAAGTTGCCAAATTATTACTTTTTTTTTCTGTTGCTAAGGCAAATCCACATAGCAAAGTTAGATACTGTTATTTTTTAACGTTATAAATATTTTTTGTATGAAGATTTAAGCTGTAGCTTGAAGTGCTTGCAGACAGAAATAGGTACAATACAACGTATTCATACTGTGGGACATGATGCTCAACCACAATAAGGAAGCTAGATGTTAGTGCTTCCTTCCGAGCGGGTGTTGTGCTCGGGGACCAAGGTCCGATTTACACCATCTTGGTTTGTCTATATATACTTTGGCAGGATCTAAAACTCCGTCACCGCGATGCAGGTTTGTATGAGCGGCGGAGTGTGCCATAGTGAAGTAGTGACAGCGCCATCTGTTGGTCACTAGTTTGTAGTGGCGGTCGCCACACCACTCCCCCCGGAAGAACCGGAGGTGGATGACGTCAGGATGAGCTCAGCAGTCTGTGCGTGATGAGCTTACACTTGCCAGTGTGCTCAAGTCTGCGGTGAGTCGAGACGAGCAGGTTGCGGTGCTCTATCCACGGTGAGTCGGGATAGTGAGCGGAGGCGTCTTCGATGGTCGGGCGTGGAGCTGGGCCAGAGCTGTACCCGTGACCAGTGAAGTGACGGTTGCTTGCTGCCGAGGAACCAGGAAGGTCGGTTGCGATCTGCGATGGTCCCTGAAGGCTGGATGCTGGCTTGTTGAAGACTGGAGCTGATGACGGAGTGGCGGAGATGGTGAGGATGGCGGAGGCTGATGCCGAAGATGGTGGTGGCTAAGGTGATTGACCGGGGTTTGATCCTAGCGGTGGGGTTAGCCATTACGGAGCGTGGAAAGAAGAGATAGCGTAGCAAAAGTCTACGTGTTCGGCGAGGATAGATAACCTATCCATGATGTTGCCTTCGCCATTAGTCGCGCGCAGTTTTGCGGCGATCACAAACATCTCGCCAACATTAATTTGGCCAAAGAAGTCTCTGACCAATTTAATGTCAGCCGCAGGTGAATGTGTAGGCTGGGGCTTGGCCTGAGGGGCCGGGACTTTGTGGGCCGGTGCCTTAGGGGCAGGGGGACTAGGGTTAGGCGCCTGATGGGTAGGTGCCTTTGGCGTAGCCTTAGGGGCTGGGTGGGGTTGAGGAGCCTGCTGGAGCGCGGGTGGGGCCACAGCTGTTTGGGCGGGTGCGGGAGTAAGGCTGGCTGCCTGGGTGTAGGCCAGAGGCCTAGCCCAAGCATTGGGCCTATTGGGACGGAGGCTAGGAGCCTCACTTGCTACCGCAAAGTTGCGAGTAGCATTGATCTGCCTGGGGGCAGAGGGGATGGGGGCACGCGGCTGAGTGCGTGGGGCCCGGGGACAACCGCGATAATTCGCAGGATGACCCTGGGTACCACACAGTATGCAGCTCGGTGGTTCGGTGGCTGTGGCCTTGTCACGGACACAGTCGGCTGTGCATCTTGGTTTGTCCATATATACTTTGGCAGGATCTAAAACTCCGTCACCGCGATGCAGGTTTGTATGAGCGGCGGAGTGTGCCATAGTGAAGTAGTGACAGCGCCATCTGTTGGTCACTAGTTTGTAGTGGCGGTCGCCACAATACTGTTTCTTATTTTAAAACCCAATAAAATTCATCATCATCATCATCATCATCATTTCAGCCATAGGACCATGTTCAGCAGTGGCCGTCCTAATAAAATTATGGGCGCAATATTCTTCATTGTTTTCCTATTGAGATCCTTTGGCCATATTATGTGGTCTGTCAGATTCACAGGGTGAGCACAACAACTTCCGTACCTACAATAATTTATTGATCTAAAATGATTATCATTAGAAGAAAAAGAAAAGAAGTAACTTTCTTTGTAACAAGACACCAAGATTTCATTTCATTCGGAGTCATACATAGAGCTTCCTCGCTGTGGATAAAAAAATACAAAAAATGCAGGTAATATTGCTTCCTAGAGACCTGTGTCCCAAAAAATAGTATCAAGCTGAAGCCCAGAGGTAGAGCATTACCAGGGTTACCTGAATATTATCATATCCTACCTACCTACTTTTATTTAGGTAGGTTTTTTTTCATTTTCATCCTTGCTACATTAAAAACTTTATTTAAAACAAGGCGAAAAAGTGCAACAATCACCCTAAAAGCATAGCAAAACTTTTTCCAGAGTTAAATTAAATCATAAAAACTCATCAGGCACCTAGGTATGCAGCTATGTCTTTAGCAAAGTCAAAGAGTAAATTCAACTTTAAAATGGAATAGTTGAGAAAAAGCAATCCGCTCGGCTGGTTCCGTTTGCGTAGGAAAATTAGTTGCAGTCTTGCCGTGAGCAAGTTAGATTGCCTCCTTGCTATCCACGCTTCTTTAATTTTTCTCCCAACCTTGTTATGTCTCGCTGCATTGCTGCCCGCAGATTAACTGCCTTTGCCTTCTAATGTTACTGGCTACTTCCATTTAGGAATACCTGTGTTATTTTATTGTTATGTTGTGATAAAAACACGTATTATTTAATTTCTCTGATTAGATTTGAAAGAAAGGCAACAATTTAATTCAAGTGGATGAAACCGATGATGAAGTTAAAGTACCTACTCGTACCTACCTCAGAGTAATACCTATTATTATGTAATTCTGTTATGGTCGATTCAATTCATCGATATTTTAAAGTTATTAAAAATTTTGTTCGAGATGCGACTCCTATCCCAGACGTACGCTAAAATTGTTTAAATATATTATCATCATCATCATCATCATTTCAGCCACAGGACGTCCACTGCTTCAGCAGTGATTGATTGATGTGAACATATGCCTTCCCCAATGACTTACCACATCGTACGGTTGGTGCCAGTGGTGACATACGGCTCCGAAACGTGGCCTCTCACTAAGTATAGGCCTCATAAAGAAGCTCAAAGTTGCACAGCGTGCTATGGAAAGGGCTTATGGGCTATGGTCGTTGTTTCTTTACGAGATCAAATCAGAAATGAGGAGATCCGTAAACGAACTAAAGATATTACCTTATGCGCGCTTTGAGCTTTTTTCTGCGACACACCTACTTACCGCTACCTAGGTCCTACTCGTAGAGATATTTGTTAAGGCTTTTATAACTTTTTATTAAAAATACCTTATTAATGCTAATTAGAGGAGAGGGTCTAATTACTCCATTTCATTTACTGTAAAACAGTAAACACTTATTTGTCCAAAGTTTCTCCTAGTCTCAAAGCGTTTTTAATTTAAGCTATGAGTGCTATAACGACCGCGTCGGACTCGAGAAAATGTTTAGCGAAAACCTTCTTCTGTTTACCAAAGCAACGAGAAAATTACCTACCTTTGAGAGAAAGCAAATAATTTGTTTATTTCTCTATTTACGAAAGGGTTGGTGCATTTCGAAAACTTTATAAATTTAAGAAAATATTATAATTTAAAAAGTTTAGGTACGAGTATGTACCTACACATAATTTCTATTTACATTTAATTATTAAGTTTAGCTTCTGCTGCTCAAATGCAACAACTTTCCTACAGAAACAATATCAAAATTCCCAAAAAAAATTAGGTACGTCCCCATTCTAATTCGCTGATTAATAAAACTCCTAAAAAACTCTGATATTTTATATTTTCTATGATAAATTATTCTATGATATTTGTATGGAAAAATTGCATTTTTTTTAAAGATTTGAACTTCTTTCTTATTAGGAAAGAGGAAATTTGTTGCATTTGAGTACCTAGTAGAATCAATCCTTTTACTAAATAACTTAAAAAGACACCCTATATGTACTTACCTATCTATATCTTATCTATTGAGTAAGGCCATTATTATTCCATGATAATAATATGACTCGAGTTGGAACTACATTTCAGACTGCTAGTCCTGTTTTTACCTCACAATACATTATGAAATGCATACGTTCGGTATAACGGTATATCTGCGACAATTTATTACCGTCTTGGCAGGATGATTAGGAATTCAGATTAGGCGGGAGCGGGACAAAAACTATACTTACGCGACCGGGTGAGGTTTAGCATAGTAATTAAATCCATTTGGCTGAGATTCCTTGTGATTTGTAAGGAGCTATTATGGAGAGATATGGTTTGTTATCTCCAGATGGTTATTAACTTACCTTTGTTATATAGGGTGTGCAGGGGCAAATTTATGCGAACGTTATTCCTTGAAGGTAGAGCGATCGATATCCTAGTTTGATTTAGAAATCTTCTAGTAATACTATGCCATGCTATTTTTTAGACTCGACGTAAGTTGTGTTATGTGTTAAGTTTAGGAACTAAGGCTGGGTTGCACCATCTTACTTTAACATTAACAAACGTCAAAAATCTGTCAAACTCCATACAAGAAGCACTGATTATCGTTATAGTTACGGTTAAAGTTGGTGCAACTCAGCCTAAATCTGTGTAAGTTATTGAAAGTTCGTTTAAAGTGCATAGGTAAGTTATAATAAAATTGTTCAACCATTATCTAGGCTTGACTGCGTTAATAAAATAAATCATAACACTAACATTTTTTAATACTGGGATTCAAACCCGGGAATTAGTGGCGAGGTCGCTCCAATAACTACCAAGCCAAACGGCCGGCATATTCCAAACATTTACCCTATCCGTTAAGTTTCCCGAAAAACCTCATACATTTAGTGGTAAATTGGTAACGAATAACCGGGATTAAAAGTTAAATTAACATCTGGTGAATGTGCCGACAGTATCCAGCTTTATCATACGGTTTAATCTCTTAAAATAATTTAAAGTTTTAATCCGTGTTTGTATTGGAGCGATTTTGCGGGGATATGCGGTACACTGTCCTGTTTTTGCGGTCAGGTCGTCTCTCGGTTTTTTACATATAATTTCCCTATCGTGCCCAAATAATACTGTTACTGTATTGTGTACAAATTCAATGGACTGGATGACAAGTGGGAATAGTGTTCTGCCTACATCACACCGAGATTGCCTTTTAGATTATTTTGAAATACAGCCAGACTCTACATTTTTGAAGCAAAATAAAATGTAGATGCCACAGTGCATAACTGTAGGTAGGTACTTACTTAGAACTTCATAGACTTGACTTGACTATCCCACTGGTGATCTACTTCATTTTGAATCGCGAAAAGGATTTTTTTGACCGATGACCGAAAAAGAAACATTTAAAATGCTGGCCACAAATAAATATTGGATGTTCATGCAGTGCTCTGCACTAAAAAAAACATCGAAATGTGGAATCCAGCCAGTCTTAAATGTCTAAGAAAAAGTTACCCGCGGTGTTCATTAAAAATGAAGGTGGATGCCGGCAGGGAAGGCTTTGCTTAAGCCGCTTAAGCTGCAGTTACTTAATAGAAACTATCGGAGACTTCCTCTTAAGACGACTTTTACACGATTCCCGGTGCCCGAAGTTGGGAAAGGAAAATAAACCCTTGAATACACGAGGTTCTGATGGAGTTTCATCTTGAGAAAAATTATAACTTAGATTCATCGCTGAAAAACATTTCGTCCTATTGCACGCCTTCAAGTTCATTGGGGCCAAAGATGAAAGGTGTGTTATTCTCCCGGGTCCAATCTATTCCTCTATAAAAATAATTTATTCATAAATTAGGCATGGGACGTCCACTAAATACTTACAGGAAACCTCCAAGAGCCCCACGGCATAGGAATTAATAGGTAATTTTTTTTAAAGACTTTCAGACTGAACATTGAAAAGGTTTAGCTAATTATTACTGTTACAGAGGTGAAGTAAATTGCTTTATTACAAACTATTTAATTTGGTCACAATATGATATTTAAAGGCCATTTCGCACACCGTTGCTCGAATAAAGGATTCCACCACTTCCTAAACTCGGTCTGCTTGGTTTCAAACGTCAGCCAATACTTCTTGTTGAGGGCATTGCAGAGGTCACAAGGGTCGAAGCCACGGGCAGCCTTGACGGAGTAATGGTTCCTCCAACGGAAGAAGTCTTGGTAGATGGTAGCGTTCTTGATTGCTACGTTCATGGCTTCTGCAAGAGCTTCTTCGTTCAGTCTTATGGCGTTTAAATAGGAGTTTGGTGGCAGAAATCTGCAAAACAAGAAAGAAGTTATTTTGTTTAAAGAAAATTTAGGGAGTCCGAAACTTTCACCATTCTATTGTGGCTTCTATCTATTGTAGTTTCAAAGTGGTTATTTTTTTAATTTATTCAATCTTATTTACTTCGATAGGCCGTGATGATGTCCAGAACAGGATTAAAAAATTTAATTTAAAATAGAAACTTACTTCGGATAATCAGCTCCACCATAAACGATTGGCACCGCATTATTCTCATAGCCATACAATACTTCCTTGGTGACATATTCTGGCGCAAACGAGTCCTCAAACGCCAGGTAGAAGTAGTACTGATGCTTAAGTCTCCACAAGCAATTGCTCATGGTTTTTCTTTTGCATCTCTTCGTACCACATTCCCCGAAGATGTCGACATGTAAGTCGTATTTATGTAAGTGTTTCTGAAGGTTTTTGATGTAATCTTCTCTCTTACTTCTGCTCTTACATTTATCTAAGAAGATAGCAGCTGCTTTTGTTTTGGAGGAGAGTTGGCTCTTCAGGTGTAGGTCTATGGGTGTCATCTTCTCAGGGGGGATCCAAGGGAACATGCGGTTTAGAAGTTCATCGTTGGCATTGCGAATGGAAATGTGCCTAAAGCCGATTGTTGATGTCAATCTGTAAATACATAGAAATAGAGCCCTAATTATGTGTGCATATGTTTATGTTTTAGGTATGTTCCAAGCTGGTAATTGCATGGTTTTCAACACTTAAGTGTCTTATTACCATCAACACGTAAGAGTTTACGTTATTTGATTATGATTAATGTTATTTTGCAGACATGAATAATTACTTACTTGTAAGTCCAAGTCCAGTTGAAGAATGGGTCGTAAACAGGGTCACACACAGGGTAGTTGTCACTGGAGTCATTTGCTACAAAAATGTATTTCTGCGACCAGGATCTTACGTCAGGCAAGTCATTGGTACCAGCACTCACGTCCACTGCGTTAAAAAGCACTGCGTCAAAATGACCCAGGTTTCCAAAAAGGGTTCTATTACTAGTGACATAGCAGTTGATATAGGGACACTTGCGCTTGATAAAAATGTTCTGACCTTCTTCGTCCAAACCTGGAATGTTTGTCCAAAGTAACACATGGCGCATGTCAGGAAAAAATCTTGCCACCTTCTTGATGTTGTAGATCGTTGATGGCCGTTTAGCCAGGAAGTAGCTGATTGTGATAATGTAGACTAAATGGAAGACGGGTTTCCAAAATTTAAAGGTGCGACCCATTTTTGGATGGAGCGTTTATACTTTAAGTATTGCAAGTGTATTGTCGATGATACTGAATAAACATTTTTTCTTTCTTTCTTTCTTTCTTATGTTATTGCTCCGGAGAATCTGGCAATAATGTCACTTCTTTGACTAAAAGAACCGAGACACTGCGTTGGAAGTGGAACTTACTCAATAAAATGCAGCTATTTACAAACAGATCCGTTACAATCGTTGATGCTGTAAGATGCTATTTCAAATATTCTTTTGACGCATTTGTTCTTGTGGAAAACCTACTTCAGGAGAAAAATAGTTTCAGGGCAATCAAGAAACATTTTAAGTTAACATTAGCCAAATGAGTCACTATGCCGAAATTGGGTAGGTACCTAATTTACAGCATTAAAATTTCCACTTGCCATGTTCGATTAAGTTTCATGAACATCCCAAGTAACATTTTACTCCATTTAAGAGTTCAATAGTCGTTCACATGTACTCCACAAGCTGTGTATGGCTGTATACGAGCTGTATAGCTTGCTATAATGCTTTTATAGAACCAGTTTGGGCACAAATTAGACAGCTTTAAGTTCACTATGGCTGTACATTAGCAGTATAATAGCATTATAATAGCAATTTAAATAATAACATCGTACTTAAGGCTGACTTACGGCACTATATGGGACGCAGTGTGAACCATACAACGTACGTGAGGACAATAAAGAGTAACAAGTGGCTAAATGCACAGCTTTCAAAGTTATAAAGTCCGACAAAAGTACTCCAATGCTACATAAAGTTCACGTGTGTCCTAAATTATTTCCACATTTTAATATTAGTTTGGTATTTGTAGAGTGCCAAGAGGAAACAACTCGGGCGGATAATATAATCATTTATGCAAATAATAACACGGGTTTTAAATACTTAATAATGTTAATGCCATTGGGAATGCAACTTTATCGTGAAATGTATACATATTTACAGCTAAAATATTTACGCGCCTCTGTAAAAACGCGATATTCATTTTAAAATATTTAAAACTGGCTGAGAGGAAATCTACAATTTTCAGTTTTTGATATTGTATTGGCATTATAATTATACTACGGTAATTAATTATAACATGAAACCAAAACTCAATCGCTCTATCTGCGAATTTTGTGATAAATCTGCATTAATTTTGGAGATTTATTTGGTAAATATTTTAGGTTATGTAGAACAAAATGGTGGAAATGAAATACGGCTATGTNGCCTTCAAAGTCTGTTAAGTAGAAATAAATGAAAAGAAGAAGATTCAAAAGCTTTTACAACACAATAAATCACACGCACAATAAAAATGGAAACGAAAAGCAAATCTAATTTCATTCGTCATGTGACATAGGAAAATGTCGTTTCGCGCTCTTTTTTAACAAAATGGCGGCATCTAACGTTTTCGCGCGCATTGTGAACAAGACGTGGGTCCGAAGGGATGGGTCCGAAATTGTTCGTTTTTAAAAAGAGGTCCGAGTGTTGTTACACGGATTTGATGGACGCTTTGGATGGAAAAGTTATTTATTGTGAATGTGACGTATGAATGAGTTTGTGAAGGCGGATAAATTGGAATACGCGGACATCTATTAATAAATGAAATGTTATTTGTAGGGCTGAACAATGCGAGTTTGGTTCAAATTCATTTTTAGCAACTCGTGGAATTGCTTCAATTTATTTATAGCGTTGAATAAACAAAATATAATGTTTTTTTTACAATAATAAGAATACTGCATTCGATTCATTAAATTAAATTGGGAACCCATTATTGATTGACAAATGCGTAAAAATCTGGTAGGCTTTTTAATAATATTGTTAGAGTGTACCATTATTAGTATTCTAAACCTTACATTCTATTCTAATGCAGCTCTCTATTTCTAATAATGACTGGCAATATTGTTCAAGTCATTTTTATCTACATTGCATTGTTATCTGTGGAGGAGTCGTGGTATTGTCCCGCTTCATAAGTTTTTATTTTGTTCTGGGACAGTAGTTTGCTTGAATAATATTCGGAAAAGTATTCTTCAAAGATCGTTTAAACATCACTGTATTATTGGCATTATTTTTGAATTACCTATGTAGATAATTTAGTAATCAATACATTTAGATAAAACATTTTGTTAAAAACATAGATGACAAGGAAACATCAATGGATTTAACATGAAGAGTAGTGGACAGGGGTTTACAAAAAACCCTTTACCATTCACTTCGTAATCCGAAAGATAATTTACGTAGAGTAGAATAATAGTATCAAGATATTGGAAACTAAAACAAAAATTAGAGTAATGGGTACTTTTATTTTGCTCTTTCATATTGGGACGTCCCACTCAAATCGGGACGTTTCACGCTGCACTGCAACGTTATTATGATAGTCAGATTTGAATCTCACACAACAAGCATTATTCTGAATTGGCTGTGCATTTGCCTGATACCGATACGATTGTTCTGTACCTATTCAATTTGTTCCACCTCTTTTGCAGTCTTGTTTTTAGAACGGCATTTTTCCATTTATTCTTAAGTAGGTATCCACTGGTATCCATTATTGATAAGTTAGATTGGACGGGCTAGAATCAAGTTTATTTTTTTATTATTTGCAACTTTTCTGCGGATTAAGTCTCAATTTTAGAATTTTTAAGTTTGTTATTTTTATTATTATAATATTTTTAAGATTATGAAAGTTATAAATAATTATTATTAAAGTTCTATTTCATTGAATTCCACAACACAATAAAAAAAATCTTTAAAACAATTTTTTAAATACGTAAAGAGTATTCAAAACAATTTTTTAAATTTAATTATCAATGCCTTCAATTCTTCAATCTTCTTAATTAAACTACCAAATATCTAATTTTCCAGCTTATTATTCCGAACAATACGCTCGCAGTACTAATTCGTAAGGTGAGTGCAGCGTTATCGGCACAGTGGTACAGAATCTGATCTGAAATGCAAACCGCGGGCCAAAGAATCTCATTAGCGGGACGAGACCGCGCTTACCTTAGCGGGGGCCGGATTCTGAAGGCGGGAGGATATCTTGAAGCGATATCGAGACGGTCTGGCTCAGTGGGAAGCAATAAGAGATTTCTGCATAGTAAATTAAGTTATGCAAGAAATACTCATACCAGCGCCGACCCTGCAGTCATAATTACTTGATAGGTCCCGTCTATTTTTCTTTGGCGCCACTTTAGGCCCTTTGGTAGCGATTTTGACATTCTTATCCGCACCGTAACGTAAACGCTTCGCCTCGCGGCGAAAGGTGATACGGTTTTGATCCTTTTCCGGGTAGATAAGTGTGATAAGACCTTAGCACACTTATCTACCCGGACACTGTAAAAGCATGGCGTTCTCTAATTTACCAGAGGCAAATGGAGCATTTGGCCTACACTCCTCACGCTGGCCAGATTGGTTGAGGAGACTCGCATATTTTGTCACTTGACCAGGACTAATCCTACCACACTTTCCCACCACTGTGACTCCTGTATAGCCAGGATCTACAGCTTGGCCTCCAATGAAACCCATTACTAATATTTGTCTCTTATTCGCCTTTTAGGACATGGAAGTGTACCAGAATAGTCCTTCTCAGTCAGCGAATGAAGACACTGCGCCTTTGCATGCGGCGCCCGCGCTCACGCTGGTTAAATGGACTGGAAAGGCTTGATGTTCGCAATTTTGTCCCTTAAACGGGACTAAAACCTATTGCCAGGATCTACAGCTTGGCCTCCAATGAAACCCATATGACTATTTATTACTTATTCGCTTTTTAAGACATTGAAGTGTACCAGAATAGTCCTTCTCAGTCAGCGAATGAAGACACTGCGCCTTTGCATGCGGCGCCCGCCCGCTCATTGGGAAATCACTCGCGCCCCCTGAATACAGAGCGGACCTATTCACTGCCGCCTTGTCGATTCCGCTCAGACAAATGTTATTAACGCTATATGTAGGAGCGTGATTTGCTTTGTTTGTAGAGCTGGAAAATTTCTACAATGATTTATTTTATGTTGTTAGTGATTTTGACTTGGTCATAAATCGGTACTAATCTCAAAGTAACTTTGTCTGTATGTGCTTCTAACTGTTTTTTACCACATACTTTGGTTTGACATCCAACGAAAAATATAGGATACACTACAGAGGAGGTGTTCACCCAAACGCGCTGGGTTAGCACAAGGAGCAAATCCATTTATTAAGAAAATATTGTTTCTGAAAACTGACTCTATCAGAAATGGAACCTAGGAAGCACTGCGATGAAGATCGGAATACGCCAAAAAGCTATTGGACCGATCATAATACTGTCGGCGATCAGAATTATCAAGATCTAAAGGCAAATAGGCAATCTAATTCCTTTAAAAGCTGCAATTTCAATAATTTTCTAAAACTCTTAACGTAATCAGATGATAATAATACACTCCAAAATGGGAAGCTCATTATTGACCCCAAAAAGTCCTCTCAACTACAATAACGTGACCTTTCAGCAAACCCAATAAAGTGTATTAAACCATGTCCCCTGAAAGTGAATGATATTGTGTATGAAAGAATAAATCGTCCAGCGAGCGATGTTACAGTATCAATGGGAATATGGAAAAAATCCTTTTATTGAAACTAGTTCGGTCGTTATCCATAATGTATTAGGCTCCTGGGCACCAGTTGACATAATACAACGGGTTTTGGGATTAAAAGACGCGATTCTCGTGCCATTTTTTGTCTATACCTAATAAAAGTAAGTTTATAAAAATTTATTAAAATAACTGCTGTCTCATACACAAGTTGAAACGACGCGACGTTGAAAGTTATGTTTGAGAATGTTTTAGTCTTTTTAAGCAATAAATTATCCTACTTACTTGTTAGATGAATTCCAATATTTCGAATGCTCGATCTTACTACTAATATAAGACTGAGTTGCACCATCTTACTTTAACTTTGTCAAACGTCAAAAATCTGTCAAACTCCATACAAAAAGCACCGGTTATTGTTACGGTTAACATAAGATGGTGCAACCCAGCCTTACATTTGTC